CCATGCAGACACGGAGAGAACGTATAAACTCCACACAGACAGTTGCCTGAGGGTGGAATCGAACGTGGGTCCCTGGTGCTGAGAGGTAGCAGTGCTAACCACTGAGCCACCTTTGCTGCCCAAGACTGGCTCTTGTTTCCACTCCTCATGTATTTATTATTATTTCTTCTCATGTTTTAATTAATAAACTCACTTTTTTTGTTAATCCAAGAAAACCTGGTTGAAGTGGCTCTGTTTTAAAATATAACTTCATTTGGGTCTGATACCTATAAAGGAAAGGGATACTTTCTAAATCAACTTTGTTGCTACCAAGGGGTTGGTGACTAACCAAGAACAGCAGCCTTAACTGGGAATTTAACAATTCCGGGTGTCCTGTCGGAACCTGAAAAAAAAGTGGGAACCCTGCCCAGGATCTGGTTGTAACCTAACTGTTGGGATAAAGGATCAGCCATGATCATACTGAATGGTGGAGAAGACTTGATGGGCTGAATGGCCTACTCCTGATCACATTTTCTATGCTTCTACGCTCTCTTTTCTGTTTTCAATTATTTGGACAAAAGTTGACTCATGTGCAATGCCTCCTGGGTCCCACTTCCTAAATTACTTTGGATTTGCTGCTGAGCACTATTGTGTTTTCCAGTTATTATTCCAAACTGTTTATTTGTTGTGGATGGATAATTGCTTGCACATGTCTTTCCACATTAATCCTTACATTGTACTAACCTTCATAATAGGTTAGGCTGCCAAGACAAGCAGTTACTGACACCCCACTTCCATGTGTACAAAGTTACTTCTCTTTTTTCTCTGTGACTGTATGAAAGGCAGCCCAAGACAGAAACTCTGTTTCGGGCTCAAACCATCTTTTAACAGGGAGAACGGGTGTTATGGCTTACAACAGGCTCCGCTTTAAGAAATGGACATGAATCAGATTGATGGGCAGGAAACCTGATAAATTGCCCATAGTGTTCGGGGATGTGTAGATCAGGTGGGTTATAGGGGGATGGGTCTGGGTGGGATGCTCTGAGGGTTGGTGCGGGCTTGTTTCCACAATGTAGGGATTCTATGATCTATGAAAACCATCCAAAGTTCTGAATTCAACATTGGTCTGTAGATAACAACCATCTGCTCTCGTATTGTTCAGTGCTCTAGCATTGCTGCCTCACAGCGCAAAGGACACGGGTTCGATTCCAGCCTCGGGCAACTGTCTGTGTGGAGTTTGCACATTCTCGCTTTGTCTGCGTGGGTTTGCTCCGGTTTCCTCCCACAGTCCAAAGATGAGCAGGCTGGGTGGATTGGCCGTGCTAAATTGCCCCATAGTGTCCAGGGATGTGTAGATTAGGTGGGCTATGCGGGATGGTTCTGGGTGGGATGCTCCGAGGGTCGGTGTGGACTTGTTGGGCCGAAGGGCCTGTTTCCACGCTGTAGGGGTTCTATGATTCTAAAGAGGGGTAAAGTGATATACAAGCGCAGAAAGTAGCACCTTCAGGATGTTTGGGGTTTAGAAACAAAGTTTAAGAGTGATTGGAAATATTGGAAATGGAGAAAAATGGAGTCTTCTGACTAGGTTGGCAGAGAGAGGACATGTAATTGATCCTCAAGGAATTGGCAGGCCTAGTTAATGTACGCTCACAGTGTGTTCATAAAGTGCCAACATGAAGCACACAGAGAGAGAAGGTCACTGTCAATTCTACACCACAACCACTAGAGAGCACCACATCCTTAACTTCTCATTAATCCTGACCGCTGGAGCGCCATGAAAGGAGCTCGATAATAAAATCTGCCAATCAAACGAGGCTTGTTATTCAGAGAATATAGCTTTAAACATACAAAAATTAAATTCAAAAATTTGCATTTGAAAACAATAATTCAAGATTTTCCTCCAAAAAATGGGACAGAAGAAGCTGAATTTTGGCAAAATACCTTTTGAGTTGCTGACTTAATAAATGAGAGACTAGAACTAATTCTTAGAATCCCTACAGTGTGGAAAGAAGCCCTTCGGCCCAACAAGTCCACACCGACCCTCAGAGCATCCCACCCAGACCCGTGCCCCTATAACCCACCTGATCTACACACCCCTGAACAGTACATGCAATTTAGCATGGCCAATCCATCGAGCCTGCACAGCTTTGGACCGTGGGAGGAAACCGGAGCTTTTCTGGTTTATACATGGTTGAAAGGAATCAAGTTATAGCCACTCACTCGAATTCTGCACGGAGATATTTCCGTAATGTCTTGGTCAAAGGAAGACGCACAAACAATATTGCTTGCCATGTCATCTCGTACGTATGAGGATATAATTGCTCTTTCATAGTTAAAAAATATATTAAAATAATCACAAAATACAAACACCCAGTAGATGTTGTACAAAACTTGCATTCTTTTAGCCTCATTTTCTTGCACAGTGAGACAAAGCAACAAGTTAATAGAAGGGTTCAGAAGATTAAAGTGTTCAATCAGTTTACTTCCTTCTGCAAGGTACAGGAGTGAGGTTCAACCATAGAAGATGGAGTAGGTGAACAAGATGGGTCGCCTCTTCCAAACCTTCTTGCTGATTTTGTTTATACACAGTAAAATGGAACAGGGTGTAAGCTCTGACTACTTCCTAATACTGTTCAGCATACCATGTGTCTACACATTAAGCCCATCTTCTTCTTCCGTACGTGTCTGGGAAAAAAAAATTATCTGACAATTCACTCACAACTGTGCTTCTAAAATCCAAACTCTCTGTCTGTGTGTTCACCACAAAACCAGTTACTCAGCACCCACACTTCTACCAGTGAGGTTCCAGCCCCCATTGAAACCAGTACCCTCTCTCACCCTGGCCTTCTGGTATGGCCTGTATCTCTGTCCCCTTACATCCAGGGATGCAAAAGTGAAAGGTTAAGGTGAACATCTGGCATAGCCATTCACCACCAGATTGAACTGGATCAACTTGCATCTTTCTCCAGTTTCTCTCCTATTTCTCTTTGTACCCTCTCTGAGCTCATCTTGTCCATGAGACCCACCTCCTGTTCACCCATCCTCCCCTCCTGGCCTGTACGACAGTTGACATTGTTAATGGCTTCTCTCTTCAGGAGTCATTACTTAAATCTGTCATTACACCTCTCCTAGAAATACAACCCTGGGCCCCATGCCCTTCCAAATAATGCCCTATCCCCAACCCATCTTTCTTCTACAAAGTCTTTGGACATGTTCTTGCCTTGCAAATCTGTGCCCATCTTTCTCACAACTCAATATTTGATTTCTTCCAATCATGTTTTTCCACCCTTGGCACAGAGTCGAAACAGTCTTTACAAAGTCACAGGCGATGTTCTAAAGGTTCCTTCATGGCCCAGCTTGACCTGTCTGCAGTCAGAAACAGCTGGTCACACTATCTCCTCCAATACTTCTCCCTTTGCCATCCATCAGGGTCTCTCTCTCATGTGGTTCTGTTCTTAACTTTGTAATTGTAGCCAAAGAATCATTGGCAACATCTTCTTTTCCTGTTCCTGCACCAGTGCCTCAGATGATTGCTGTCGCCTTCTTATTGACTGGCCGACAAAATGAACAGATGATCATCTCTTGCCTGAAATATTTTTTTCTTTGGAGACCTTTACAGAATGGAAATGGCAAGTTTGGGTTAAAATGTAGAAAGTTAGCGGTGATGGTTAAGTTGCAAATTCAAAGATCTTCAGAAGATGAGATTGGAAGGGAGAGGTGCACAAGGGAGCGAGCAAGGGAGAGAGTGAAACAGAGAATGAGAACAAGAGAGAGAGAGTTCCAGAATATGGGGCCAAGAAAGATGAAGTTGAGTGAAGTGTAGTGAGTGGGTTAGGAACTTGACAAGGTAGGGCAAACATTGTCTTTTAGTTGGAATCTGGGGCAATGCCATGGAGTTATTATTTGTTTGTGAAGATTCAGATTTATGGGTCAGATTTATGATGGCAGCTTAAAGGTGTTTATTGTACCTGAGGACGTGGGCAGCAAAGTTTCAGACAAACCAATGTTTTCATATCAATGCTTAGCAATTTTTTTTACTTAAGAAACTGATAAACATTCGGTTCACATTCATATTGCATACAACTGGCTTCAGCTTAAACACACAGCTGGAGGCTGAGTAAGAAACCACGTTGAGGCAGGACTAATACAGAGATATTTTTGATGCCAAACTTAGATTTTAGGACTTCAATGTCAAATTAAAGAGAAATCTGACTCAGCGAGGGCTTTATCTCAGCATTGCCATTATTTTGCACTGTACCCTCAGCATCTAGTCAATTGAGTTAACTGAGCCTTAGTTAGAAATGGGGTCCAAACAGCAGAATTCAATGATAATAGAAGTGTGAAATCACAGGTACATTGCCTATGAACACAGACTGCATGCTCACGATTTACGATGTGTTTCCTGTGAGTGCCAGTCCCTGCTAGGAGTGTTGGAGCACAGAATTACTCCTGGTAAGTGCAAGCAAACACTGGTTCTCTACCTGCCTGATCAGAGGCTTCGCCACAGGAATTGGAGATGGTTATTAGGAGTGGAATATGTAGAGACATGGAAAATATGAGGAGTGGACCATTCAGCCCTTCGAGCCTGCTCTGCCATTCATTTGATCATGGCTGATCATCCAACTCAGTAGCCTGTTCTGTTGTCTCCTAGTCATTAGGAATACCCTTCCTGCATCTACCCTGTCCAGTACTGTTAGCATTTAACAGGTTTCTATGAGATTCACCCCCTCATTCGTCTGAACACAAAAAAAATTTAATTCTAACCAATTCAACCTCTCTTTATGTCAGTCCCATGAATCAGTCTGATAAACCTTTGCTGCACAGTCGCCATCGCCAGAACATCCTTCCCCAGATAAAGTTATAATGCTTTGGATCATCTTTGCTTTGAGCTGGTAACTTGTCATCTTGCCTGAGCAACTTTGCTCGATGTCTAGGCACAACACACTGCGGGATCTTTCTGTGCTTATTTCAGATGTCATTTCCTCAAAGAATTAGATCTGTGAGCAATCATTCAACTCTACCTTTTCTGCCAGAGACAGCACCGTGCTCGCCTGGATAATTGCCACTTGCTCCTCATTTCTCAGATTCTAGGAAATAAAAAATGAAAAGCAGATATTGACTTACGGAAAAAAAATGCACATTGCACAGATAGATTAGCAGTGCTTTGTTTATTCCTTCGTGAGATGAGGGAATGACAAGCAAGGCCAACATTTGTTATCCATCTCTAACTGGCCATCAGCAGGTGTTGTTGACCTGCCTTCTGGAACTGCTGTAATCCATGGGAGTGCTGGATATATATCAACGTTGGAAAGGGATATTGAGGATTTTCATGGAGTGACGATGAAAGAACACTGTTTGGATCCAAGTCAGAAGTGTGTGTGGCTTGGAGAGGAACCTACATGTAATTGTGTTTTCATGTGTCTGCTGTCCCTGTCCTTCTAGGTAGAGGTTTTGGGTTTGGCAGGAGCTGTCATGAGTGGCACGGTGGCTCAATGGTTAGCAGTGCTACCTCACACCAGGGAACTGGGTTCCATTCCACCCTCGGGTGACTGTCTGTGTAGAGTTTACACATTCTCCCCGTGCCTGTGTGGGTTTCCTCCAGGTGCTCCAGTTTCCTCCCACAGTCCATAGAGGTGCAGGTTAGGTGGATTGGCCATGCTAAATTGCTCATAGTGCCCAGGGATGTGCAGTCTAGGTGGATTAGCCATGGGAAATACAGGGTTAGAGGGATGTGGTGCGCCAGGATGTGATCCTCTTCGGGGGTCGGTGTGGACTCGATGGGACGAATGACCCGTCCCTAAACTGTAGGGATTCTATGACTCTATAAGTTACTGCTGTGCATCTCGTAGGTGGTACACGCTGCGGCCACTGTGTGCCAATTAAGCATATTGCTTTATGACTCAGTTTCTTGAGTGTTGTTGGAGTTGCATCCATCTAGGCAAATCCCAATCCCAATCCTGACCTGTGTCTTGCAGATGGTGGTCTGGTTTCGGGGAGTCAGAAGGTGAGTGCTTCCAGCTCTTTCAGCTACAGTGCTAACCTAATCAAGTTTCTGGTCAATGGTAATTGCAGGATGTGAGTAACAGTTAGAATAAAATTCAACATGTCTTGCTGAGTGCAATTCAATTATAAACTGTCTGATGTAAAGCAACTGAACTAGAGTCATTTGTTTAACATCAAAAATTGATAACTGGAATACAAGGCACACATTTCTCTGATTTAAAACTCACTGCTCACTGCTTCTGATCTTTATCGCAGGTTACAGGTGGCACAGTGGTCAGCAGTGCTGCCTCGCAGTGCCAGGGTCTCGGGTTCAATTCCACCCTCAGGCAGCTGTCTGTGTGGAGTTTGCATGTTCTCCCTGTGTCTGTGTGAGTTTCCAGCATGTACTCTGGTTTCGTTCTGCAGTCCAAAGATGTGCAGGTTATGTGGATTGGCCATGGGAAATGCAGGTTTACACAGATAAGGCAGGGCTGGGTTGGAGGGTCAGTGTGGACCTGATGGGCTGAATGGCCTGCTTCCACCCTGTAGGGGTTCTCTGAAGTTAGGAGATGGAGGACTGGAGATATATCTCCCCAGCATCACTTGCGTATGGTGCTGTTACACACATCATACAGACAGTCAGGGAACGTGCCCTGCAGGAACATAATAGGCTTTGTTTAAACTGAAGCACACATCAGGCAAAACTTCATCCCCAGCACACAATGCTTTTCAAATGGAAATACATCATTAGCTGGTTGCAACATATAATTAAGAATCATCATCACAGTGCCAACTGTTTTGTTGCTGTGGCTACACCCAGCAAATCTAATTTCCGCTTTCAGCTTTAGCTGAGTGGCAGGATTTAAATATCCCAGCTGGCAGTTGCACACGCATCTAAATGCTGGAAATCCAGGTGATGTTCTCATCGTCAATTCACTCCTCATTAAGGAATTGTGAGCTGGCATCCAATAGGGTGACTAATCAGGCACCTTGCAAAAGGTGGAAAAGTAGATTCTCTCTCTCTCTCTTTCATGGACACACATACACGTTGAGCACTTTCCCATTAGTGGTGTAATAACAAGCAGGGTCTTTCCCGGCAGTGGCGGTGAAATAATCCAGCTGAGAACCCTTCCCATTTCACTCCTTAGTGCAACACTTAGATGCCAATCCAAGTCCAGCATTTAGGGCCCAGTGTAACCTGCCTGCCTGCTCGTGCAGGGAAGCACATGATGTGTGAGAGGTCATTCCTGGACCCGTTACAAAGTGAGGCACTGCAGAGAAGTCAAACAGTTCCTTACAGGAAAGGAAATGGGCGTACAGGAATTAATCCTCTTCACTTTAATATGGTTTCTGTATGGCAACCGCAGCTGGAAAACTGGGCTCATTCCAACTCTATCAGCAATAAGAGACCCAAAGATGGGAGAAGAATAAATCTGGTTGAATACTAAAATCATAGACTATCCTATCAATTGGCTGAGTTGCCTCTGGGGATAAAGTGAAGGCCCTTTTGTCTCTCTTTGATGTGGAGGTACTGGTGTTGGAGTGGGGTGAACAATGTCAGATGTCACACGCTACCAGTTTGTACACTGACAGATTTATTTGGAATCACATGCTTTTGCCAGTAAAGCTTTCGCTCACACTGGCCCGAAATTTCAGAGCGGCAATGACTTACCACCTTCACAGTGACTGTAGACGAGGTTCCTTCACACCCTTACCCCGTTCTGAGCCAGCCACTGAGCAACTGGACTGGTCATTTTTGCCAGGCCCATTCAGAATGCAAACCATGGTTCCACACGCTACACAGGACTGCAATTGTCATTCTCTCATCTGAAGTGGTCGGCTGGTAGCCTGGACCAAGAGGAATCTGAAGACAAGTTGTCCTCAGATTTAAGAGCCTCTGCCCAAAAATGCCAACAGGCTATCCATCCAAGTTTGACCTTGTTTATATCTGACATCTGCGCACATCAAGTGGAGTTAGTGAGGAGTGTTGATGAGAAACATTACCCATAGTTGTGCAGCTCAGACAAGTGGGAGGTCTCCAGTTCTTGTGACTTTAGTTCCAACTATATTATGGATCAGCAGTGTCTTTACCCGCTGACCAATGAGTCAGGGTGTGTGATTGTAACAAGGTCAGCCAGATGGATCTCACAGAATATGGGTTCCCTGATTTGGGATGTTAATCTGGTCCAGTCAGGGAGCCCTGAGTGACAGATAAGAGCAGGAATGTCAGAGGCTCTGTTTACTTTGGGAGCCGGCTCTGAGAAAGCTCAAGTACTATGCACATGTAAATAAAGGGGGACTTGCTGATGGGATACCGGCCTCTGTGGAGTTATTTCACAGGGGTTGATCTCAATGAAATGTAAGTTCACATACTAATAACAGAAAGAAAGGCTGGATAATTCCGTCATAAAGACAGCCTACATAGAAAAGTTGCCGTGAAAAGATTTCTCTAAAATTATAAAACCCTGAGAGAAAAGCAACACTTACCCCATTGTCTCCCAGTATGTCCAGCTGTTTAATGAGATCATGAATGGAGACATCCTGTAAAATAAAATGATTCCAAACATATTTATTAGGTTAATTGTGACAAAGCACGAACCAAATAACATCAATTTAACGAGAATATGTTGTAGGAGCTATGCCACAGAATATATTGAACAGCTGGCTTACTGTGGGGATGGATGATGAGAATCTGAAGAGGTGGATAGTGTAACATTGTGCGTCCTGATTATAATTACTTCTTTTCCCCATTCTCTGTCTCACATTCCCTCCTGTAAGACTCTCCTTAAAACCTACCTCTTCAATCAGGCTTCTGATCATCTGACCCAATAACTCATTATGTATCTCAGTGCCATACTTTGTTCTAAAATGCTCCTGTGGGATGCCTTAGTTATTATATTAAGCAGGCTCTGGAAACATAATTTGCTGTTCACCAGCAAACCTGCTGTCTAGGTCATGAGAAGATCTTACAAAATATTCAAGCATGTGCTGGTGGTAACTGTGGTTGGGAGACAGATTACACTTTTAAAACTGTCACAAACATACAGAACGCTGGCGAATTTGAGAACCCAGTATTAAGGTGGGCTAATTCTGTGACCCTTGACTTGGATTTAAACCCAGCCTGCACTATTATGATAAAAGTCTGATCTGTTGGCAGCCAATCCCTCATGATTCAGAGTCCCAGAACATACAACATCCACATTTTGATTCTAATTCCCAGCCTTAGGTTGGTCACAAGGGTGTCCGACAGGAGATGTGAAATGATCCCATGGAATCACTTTGGAAATTGACACTGGTGACAAAATACAGAGCAGCCTTTACTTTCTGTCTAACACATGTCATTTCTAAACAGTCAACGACACTGCTAACCAGATTTTTGTGCCTTGCTGCTTTTGGTAGCACTCCTCCTAAACACCAGAAATCCTGGATTTAAGTCTCAGCCCAGCATTTGCCCACAGGATCTGAAATGATATTTGAGCGAGGTTACTCAGGGAACGCTGCTTTGCTGAAGGTAGCGTTGCTCCGTGACTCATAATAAAGTAGTTTGGATACCCATGTGAGAAATGTCCTGGTTCAAGTCGATGTTAAAATTAATTGTATCATTTGAAGGGAAGCTGAGGGTTCTCTAAATGACGTATCAACTCAAACTCTGAAAAACAAATCAGTTGGTCATGAGTGTGTCCAAAGTAGACCCTGTATTTGTTTACAAAATAACTTTGAATTCCGAAGTACAAAGAGCTATGATAAAGGAGCTGTGTTAGTGTCTTTGTTTTATGTTCTGCTTTTTGACAAGGACAAAATTAATTGATAAAGAAGGACATTAAACATCTGTAGATGTTTTTGTATTTTCCATCATTATCTCTTAAACTATTGATGTTACAATCTAAAATTGCACAACCCGTGTGCTGCCTAAGGGGTTTATAAAATCACCATCTGTAATACTTCTATATAACTGGAAGACGTTGGAAACTTGACACCAGTTCCTTAATTACCATTCTCGTTTGGTTCCAAGTCACAAGAACACTCATGGACACATCTATTAGTAATTCGATCTTATCAAAAAATAAACCTTATCTACAACTACGATTTTAAGTGTTCTTGACATCACCTTGTAGTGACTCTTTTACAATGAATTATGAACCAACATTTAAGGGTCAAATGTCTGTACTACAAAGGCAGTTTGTAAATTGACAACCATCAAAATTGGCTGCTTTTTGTATCCCGGGAACCTACAGGACTTCAATAGTAAGCTGGAAAATGAAACAAAATTATTCAGAGACATGGGCAATGATGGATTGACTCTCTAAATACATTGAACAAGAAATAGCTGGTGGGAACAAATCACATAATGCTGTGTGTTTGGTGGGATTGATCTAATTGTCTTGGAACTCACATGGCCAGCTGATAACAAATTAGCAACCACGATTCCAATACATGTAGATTAGCCACCCCATGTCCGTTGGGAATGGGATTCTGAAAACCGCTTCAGCAAGTAAGCTATTCACTAACCTGATGATGCAGAGACTTTTCTGAATCAAAGCACCTTACGTTAGTGACAATAAAGTGTGGAGCTGGAGGAACACAGCAGGCTGAAGAAGGGTCCCGATCCGAAATGTCAACTTTCCTGCTCCTCTGATGCTGCCTGGCCTGCTGTGTTCCTCCAGCTCCACACTGTGTTATCTCTGACTCCAGCATCTGCAGCTCTTGCTATCTCTATAGGCGTTAATGAGTTACTCATGAGCCCAGAATGTGGAATCAACCCAAGATTTAAAGGTGGATGTGGTGGGAGAAGATTATATTATTATCATGGATGTGATCTTTGTACCATAGGAAGTTTGTATTTAGGGACAAGAAAGGGACTTGTAAGCATCACAGGGGGCAGGATCTGTCAGCCATGCAGACAGGAACATACTTCTTACAGCGATTGTCAGGACGAATAATGCTTGAAACTAAAGAAAGTTACAGCCAGCAGCCTATATGGGTTTCAACTGAAATTGAAGGGAACATTTGTATGCTTCCTGGTATAGTCAGCAGTTAAAAGAATATCGAACTGTGCCAAGTTGTAAGCCCTGACCATTTTATCCCATCAATGTTCAGGATCTGGAAATAGAACATAACCAGCAATGTCTGGGTTCACCTATCTACAGCAGTACTGCAATGATTAGAACACTGAGGGTAGATTGGTGCTGAGAGAAGTAAAGGGTCATTCTCTTAGGGAACAATAGACAGATCAGCTCACCAAATCTGAACACCCTTCAGCTCTACCCAAAATTAAGTGAGTCTCATAATTCATCGTAAAAGAGTCACTACAAGGTGAGGTCAAGAACATTTAAAATCATAGTTGTAGATAAGGTTTATTTTTTGATAAGATCAAATTACTAATAGATGTGTCCACGAATAGCATTTAAATAAAAGCTTGATACTAAGCAGAATATACATCTAATTCAATTATGTTAAGCCATGTCAGTGAAACAGAATGACATGTAGCCTTGCAGTTCAGATATGCTATTAAATTCCTAGAATGACTGGGTGGGATGCCAAATGGCTGTGCAATTGTTGGGTCTTATAATTCCTTCCCAGACTAGTATGCAAGGATGGCAGATAGTTTTCTGCTAATGTATAGACCCAGATTGCTATTAATCTGTCAGGAATATAACATGAAACTACATAACCCTAAGCATTTGCGGGACAGGACCCATCATTGTGTGTGTCAGCTCTCAGCTACATTAATCCAAGATTCATCCCATTACACTGTTCTCTTTCCCTTCACACTGTTTTGTTTCACAGATTTATGGTAGACATATAGCTGCCATTCCTACTAACCCGATGCAATGCAGGTTAAGTGACCTGCACATGCTGATCACAGAATACAAGCACAGGTGGTAACCTTCCTCCCTGTTCTGGCTCCTTGACAGAGCTATCCAATTAGCCTTCCCCATGGACTTGTAGACTTCTATCCTCTGGATATTAATTCAAATTCCTTTTCAAAGTTACTGCTGAATCATCTTCCACTGCAATATCACAAAGTTTGTTCTCAATCCCATCAAGTTCCTATGTGAAAAAAGTTGCTTCCTAATGTTCATCAAAGACATTTCATTAGCATTCCCTTGTTACAGATCGTTTTTACCACTGAAACATTTTCAACTTAAAATACCTTGTAATTTGGAACACTCTGTCAGATTCACTCTGACATTTTCATCTCCTTTGTGAGTAACCTCAGTTTCTTAAGTCTCTCCGTGGTAAAACAAATAAGCGCAGGACTTGTACAACTAAAAGTAGGGCCATGAGAAGTGTTGTCGAACAGAGTGACCTAGGGGTTCAGGTACGTAATTCTTTGAAGTTTGCATCGCACGTAGAAAGGGATTAAGAAGGTATTTAGTACACTTGCCTTTATTGCTCAAATCTTTGAGTATAGGAGCTGGGATGTTATGTTGAAGGTGTGCAGGACATTGGAGAGGCCTTTTCTAGATTTCTTTTGTGTGCAGCTCTGGTCACCGTACTATAATGAGGATATTATTAAGATGGAGAGGGTTCAGAAAAGATTTACCTGCTTGTTACTGGGAATAAAGGATTTGAGTTACAAGGAGAGGCACTGAAGCGTAGGAGGCTGAGGGGTGACCTCATAGACGTTTATAAAATCACAAGGGGCATAGATAAGGTGAATGGCAGGTGTCTTTCCCCTAAGGTGTGGGATTTCAAAACTTAGGTGCATATTTTTAAAGGTGAGAGGAGAAAGATTTAAAAAAGACACGAGGGGCAATTTTTTTTTTACACACAGAATGGTTTGTGTGTGGATTGAACCTCCAAAGGAAGTGGTCGATGTGGGTACAGTTACAATGTTTTAAAGAGATTTAGAAAAGTACATGAATAAGAAATGTTTGGAGGGACATGGGCCAAGTGCAGTTAGGTGAGACTAGTTTAGTTTGGGATTATGGTTGGCATGGACTGGTTGGACCGAAGGGTCTGTTTCCATGCTGTCTGACTCTGTGCTTCTATAACTGAACTCCCTCATCCTCAGTACCACCCTTTGCAACCTCTTGAAGCAGGATGCTCGCAATTAAACACAGTGGGGTTGGATTTAGATGCTCCCTGAGTGGAGTGTGTTTTTATGTAATAAAGGGAGGGGGGAGCGACCCAGTCTGCCACCTCAACATTCACCCCCTGAGATGCCTCACATCATGCAGAGGTTGGCTGGGAGGCAAAATTGGCAGCCCACCCACCATTGATAAAAAATAAATTAGGGTCAATCGAGCAGGTTAAAAGCTTCATTTACTGCAATATAATGCAGGTCGAGGCCTAATATGGTTGGCATAGGCAGCCTGGTTTTAAAGAAGGTGCTTCAGAGGGCACGAAGGAAAGGGGTGATATACCATATCCCTTCCATGTACTGGAATGTCCTTTGCAGATCTGGGATACCCACTCACCCTCAGAAAATAGCTGGGCCTTAAAATCCATTCCCTAAAGGTGGCTCGACTTGAGGATCAATTGAGCCTTCGTTTTTGGGGGCTGCTTATAATCGCAGCAGTGTACGCTACCTAGAT